TCTTGTTTCATTTTTGTTTGTTTGTTTGTTTGTTTTTGTCATGGTAGCCAGAAAAAATAACAACAAAAAGACCTATTTTTCTCAAACCTGTTACCAGTCGATTATTTAAACAAAACTCTGCTATGGTCTCTTAGGAAATTCCTTGCTTCCTGACCACAGTGAAAGATGTGGCTTGCTCTCAGACTGTTCCCACATCTTTCATTGCTATTTTCTTTCCTCAAGGAAGATATGATGCCTAACCAGAGAGGAAGGCAAAGCCCAGAGTCTTGACAATGACAACTTTGGGGCAGTTGGCTCTGATAATCTTGTTCAGACACACAAAATAAGCCCTTTCTTGATTCAGATACTGTTAATTTGGGCTTTTCTTCCTTGGATATCAAATGATTCATAGTTATTCTAAACCCAAATTCAGGGTGATGTCTATTTTAGATCAAGCCTAATTATAGAGATAATCTTTGTTTATAGTATAGTTTTGCACACTTCAGAGTCAGTAATTTGAGGAGCTTATTATCTTTGTGTGTGTGTGTGAGTGAGAGAGAGAGAGGGAGAGAGAGAGAGAGAGAGAGAGAGAGAGAGAGAGAGAGAGGTGTATGCGGGTACTATGGAGGCCAAAGGGCAACTTTGGCCCTTGCTGTCCACCGTTTGAGTCAGGGTCTCTTGCTCACTCTCACTGCATCCAGCCGAAGAGCACAGATGACTCACCAGCTTCCAGGAACTTTGCTGTGTCTGCCCCCCATCTTGCCATAGAATGATTACAGACATGTGTTACCAAGCCTGGCTCTTATGTGGGTTCCAAGAATTCAAACCCATTTGAGTAGCAAGCTCTTTACCCCAGGAGCTTGCCTAATTACTAGTTTTGAAAGGCCTATATGTAAAGATAGCCACACAGGTCCCTCTGTGCCTGCCTCTTGGATTTAGGAGCACTGAGGGGTGATCTTTTGGAAGGATGGATTTCCTCCTCCTTATATTGGCCGGGGGGGGGGGTGTCAATGCGGTTTCCTACAGTGTTGTTTCCTTCCTCAGAATGGAAGGAGACAACCACCATCCTGGCTATTCTCAATAAATTTTTATTACCTAAAGCAGAAGATAACTACTTAATAAATAAATGAGATTTTATCAAAAACAATAAACTGGAAATCCACTTGTAACTGTCCAAATGCTAAAGAGATTAAAATATTCATTCCTGTTAGGAGAAAGGCACAAAGCCATCACGAGTTTTTAGAGGAGGATGCCATCTGCATTTGTCTCCGAAAACTCTTTGAAGAATACACTGAGAAACTAGATGAAAGATCTGCAGACATAATAACCAGGAATTCCAGCCAGGATGAAATAAGGGGTACCAGAATAGCTTGTAAAAAAGAAAGCTGGCCACAGTATACAAAATTCCTATTTTTAAATGCCAGAATGTGGATTATACAGCATGTAGTTTTTAATAGAAAGGAAGGCAAATGGAATGAGGTTTACAGTACCCCTGGTCCTACCCTAGAGGTTATCTTCAGAAAGGGTGAGGAAAGGCCAAGCTGCAGTGAAGAGAAAGAGATCGCATTTGGAGATGATGATGTGGCTGGAATTTGTAATAGGTAGTATTAGAAAGGGAAACCTATACATAGAAACTGTTTCAAATTTTTCTGCAAGTCCGTGGCTGGATGAAGCTGAGCATGTGTAGGATGAGACCCCAAGAAGCTGGGGAAAATATCCAAAGAGAAAGAACATCCACTGGAACTCCTGGGAATGGGAGTTGTCTGAGTTTGACTCTTGAACATCTGTGACATACAACAGAGAACCCAGGCAGCCATTTTTCAAGGATGGGACGACAACTATAGGCATTTAAAACCTGAGTTTAAGAACAAGTATGGAGAGGATCAAGATGAATGGCACTGAAATAACCTCTCAAAACAAAGTCCAAACTCCTCTAAAACTTCATATATTTAGTGTACCAATTTTGTAACACTGCCATAACAAATTAGGCACATTTGTAAGCTAAAGCCATATCCACCTGATATTTCATAGGTGGATAAGTTGGTAGTTTGAATAAGAATGGTCCCCATAAACTCAAAGATTTGAATGCTTGGCCCCCAGGAAGTGGTACTATTTGAAAGGATTAGGAGGTGTGACCTTGTTGGAGGAACTGTCACTGGAGGTTTTCAAAAGCCCGAACAGGCCCAGTGGCTCTCTCTTCCTGCTGCCTAAGGATGGAGATGTAGAGCTCTCAGTGCCTGCCTGCGTGCCACCATACTCCTTGCCCTGTTGACAATGGTCTAAACCTTGGAAACGTAAGTGAGTCTCAGTAAAAGCTTTCATGGTATATCTTCACAGCAAGAGAACATTGGCAAAAAGAGTAGGCATGAAATCCAGCAAGGTGCGGTTCCACTGAATGCTCTGTTGAGAGTCTCCTAAGGCTGAAACTAAGTTCATGTGATGCTGGAATGAATTTCCCACAGATTAGGAGTGGCATCCCCTTCCATGCCACTTCCTGGCGATGGCTAGGTACTTGTATCTCTCCATCCTCCCAGATGTTTTGCCTCACTCTTCAGATGCATCCCTGTCATTAATTAAAGGTTTCTGCTTTTTTATGGGTTTCTATGAATAGATTCACATCGTATCATGCAATATTTTCCATTAGTACCTCTCAAATAAACTCAAAAGCCGAATGAAATTTCTGTACATTTCCTTATACATTACTAATTCTTTTGTTGTTTGTTTGTTTTGTTTTGTTGTTGTTTTTCAAAACAGGGTTTCTCTCTATTGCTTTGGAGCCTGTCCTGAAACTCACAGAGACCCACCTGCCTCTGCCTCCCAAGTGCTGGGACTAAAGGTGTGTGCCACCAACGCCCAGCGTTTGTTTGCTTTTTTAAGGAAATAAAGATGGTTTATTCTAAGTCGAATAAGAGTGACCACAGCCTGGAGTCACAAACTTAAATGTCTCCAAATTCCATGGAAGCTGTTTCATGAAATGTTTACAATAACAGAACAAAGCAAGTCCAAAATCAAGCCATTTTTAAAAACATGGGTGAAAATATCAGAGAAGCAGGTTATAGTCAGGTGAAGAAATGTCAGCTATGGGCTTCAGGGGCTATCTGACAGCATTCTAAGTTAGCTCTTTGACTGGTCCAGAAAAGACTTTTGTTTGGTTAATACAGTCTGAGAAATGACATCTGTCTATCAGAATGCTCCCAGAGTCAAGAAAGAAATAGCTCTGTAGGAGCTAAAGATAGTCCCAAATACACCGCAGCTGGACTCCCGACCTGCAGCAGTCCAACCTCTCCACAGTCATGGACACTCTAATCCGCCAATCAGCCTTTGTAGACACGGCTTCTTTCTAGGTTTCCTGTTCACAGTATAATCCCATCTGCATAAATGCTATTGACTATTCATTTATTCATTTACGTTACCACTCTTTATACACATGCCAGGGTATGGACAATGCCCCACACTCACACCGACCGTACATACCACACACAAACATGCACATATACACACATCCTATATAAAAATCACTTTTATGTCGCACACCTTTAATCACAACACTTGGGAGGCAGACACAGGCAGATCTCTATAAGTTCGAGGCCAGACTGGTCTACAGAGCTAGTTCCAGGACAGGCTCCAAAGCAATACAGAGAAACCCTGTCTCAAAACCCCAAAAGACAAACAAACAAAAATTAAATCACTTTTATGGAATTGATGAGTAGAATCCAGATGCAAGATATCTTAGCAATTAGCATACCTCAAATTTTAATGTGCATAGAGATCTATGACTTTTAAAACTATTTTATTACAATAATTACTATTTTATGGGGGTAACATGTGTCACAGTAAATGAATGTGGGGTCACAGGACAGCCTTGTGGAGACAGTTCTCTCCTTCCACCAGGGATGAAACTGGGGTAGGCAGGCTTGCCATAACAAACACTTTTAATGGCTGAGGCACCTCCAGTCCACGGAGCTGGGGGTCTTGTTCAGTGGAAGGATCTGACATGGGGAATTTGGGGTAGGACTGGAGATTCTGCATGTGTAACAATGTCACAGGAAGTCGGAGTCCCCGATACACTTCAATAGCTTGGGTGACTTTTCTGAGCCATGGATAGTGGTTTTACTTCAGCAGTGTTGAGTTCAAGCTCCAGTTTCTGTTTCTAAGGAACTACGGGATAAGAGGATAGTCACTGCTAAGCTACAAGATCAGAGCTGAGTTTCCTGTTTCTCTTCTGTGGGCTGTTGAGAAAGACTACTATAGAAACGTAACTGAAAGTGTTACGTAGACTTTTGGCCTAGGACCAGTTTAAAGAGTCATGCAGATGATGGAAGTGAATTTACATACTAATGACAGAGAAAAACTTTAGAAAGGGCGGGCATAAAAACAAAAGGCGGGACCTCAGGAATGCCCTCTTGGATGCGCATGGGATGTACCATATTGTGGAGAGGGGCGCCTCATCCAAATTATATGAAAGAACGGAAGCTCTGTTTCTAGGATTATACCTAAATCGAGATACCTGAATTATCAACTTTTATCTTCATTCTGTAAGGCAACCAACGTTAAGACTGGAGTTCAGGGTCAGCTAGTGGTTCAGCTTCCTGGTTTCGAAGCAATCCACACCCCACGAGTGTGTGCCTCCCCTGCCCCACCCCACCCCAACCCCGTGCTCCCCGTGGGCCGGCTCCTGCAAGCCGCGCGTGGCTGGAGTTTGCAGGGGCTGGAGGGAGGCGGGCCGGACGGGTCCATGTGCGCCACGCGGAGGGGCGCGCGCTGCGCGACCGGGGTGCGCGCGGGGGGAGCTGTGTGAACGCGGGTGGCCGAGGGCCGCTGCGATCCTCGAGGCGGGGCGGGCACGTGGGGTCCCGGGACTGCGCGCTGGCCCCGCCGCTCTCCCCGTGGGCGGCTCGGGGTGGCGCAGGCGTCCGGGGCGGGGCGGAGCGCTGTGCCGTCTGCGCTGCGGCGGCGGCGGAAACAATAGTGCGGATCGTGGCGCGCGGACGGCGACCCGCGGAATCGGACGGTAAAGCTCCTCTCCGAGCCGCTTCGGCGCGCAGGGCCGGTGCCGGGACCGACGGACGGACAGACGAGAGGACTGTGTGCTCTCGGGACCCGGATCGCACCCCGCGCCGGCCACCCACGATCCTCGAGTGGCGCCCCCGGGACCCTCCGATCCGTAGCTGCCGGGTCTCCGACGTGTCCCATCCCTTCCCGGGTGTCGGCGTCCCCACGTGCGTCTTCCCGCAGCGGAACCGGGAACCGGGTAACCGAGTTAGCGGGACGCCTCCAGGCGCCCGGCGAGAAGTTGGCAAAGCCGCGTCCCAGCGGCTCCTTCTGGCCGCCGGGACCGACCTGAAGTTGGTTGACAGACCTAGTGTCTGTGCGGGAGCCACCGCGGTGGGCGGGTGTCCCCCACGGGCAGACTTTTCCTGTCCCCGTGCTTTTCACAGTAAAACTGGGATACTGTACTCCAAGCATGGCGATGCTTGCCTGGTGGGGCTGTTGTAAACGCCACCTTTTCCCTTTTTCTGTGGGTACTGCAGGCCTTAAGCAAGTTCTTGCCTTTGTGTAACTTGCCTTTTCTCTTTCTCCATAGCGGCACTATGAACGAAGAGGAGCAGTTTGTAAACATTGACTTGAACGATGACAACATTTGCAGTGTTTGTAAACTGGGAACAGACAAAGAAACACTCTCCTTCTGTCACGTTTGTTTTGAGCTAAATCTCGAGGGTAAGGACGCTGTGGTTTTAACTGCATGCCATGAACTTTGTACAACTTTTGCTGAAATGTGTTTGAAGGTTAAAAACTGAAATTGCTTGAATGCCCAGAGATTGTGCTAAGTGATGATCTGCTAGTTTTCTGGAAGTGACACCAGCGCCAGCGCTAACAAACTGAGGGAAATGTTTGTCTTTGAAACACTTAACATTGTTAACCTCATTTTCACTAAGATGAAATGAAATGCAGGTATTGCCTGGTCAACATGAGATTTTTTAGCACATGTATCTCTCTTGTATTAAGAATCAACATGACCATTTACACAGGCAGATGTAAGTCTATTCTTTTCGGCCCAAACTCTTAGTCACTATTTGCCTATCTTGTGAAAAGCTTAAGAAATTTTAAGTAATATCCTTTACTTTTAGTTATTTTGAAAAACCGAAAGGACTTTTACATTTTATGGAAATGAAACTCTTCAAAAGGTAAAATAAACCTTTTGCTGAAGGTTATGTTGGTGCACAGTTCACTGGGCCCTGAATACCAGTATGTTGTTTCCAGGAGACATAGGATTTAACCTTAACTTCTTACACAGTCATAGTGAAACCCTGAATCTTTTTAGGTTTGTATGAGTCACACTGAAAGGAAATCTTAAAATTCCCAAAAAAAACTAAATTTGTTTTTTTAATTTTGAGGCTGTAATGTGTCAGTGGGAAAAAAGCTTACTAGATATTAGTTAGATATTTTCAGATGTCTATATATTTGAGGTTTTAGTTTGAAAACAGCATTTCATTTTGTCATGGCCGATGTATTTAAAGATTTCCATGATCTTTTATTTATTTTTTTGGTTAGGAGGTACAAAATGACCTTATTGATATATATATATATATATATATATATATATATACACACACACACACACACACACACACACACACACACACACACACACACAGACAGGTGTTGTGATCATAGACTATGATGTTCCTGTTAGGACTTGTTACTTGGAATGCTATAGCTTCCAAATGGCGTATCATGGAGCACTGTACAGCTTCTGTGGATTAAGTAGAATGTCTGTTACTCTGGCTGTAGGGAATGTGGTGATTACAGCTAGTTTTAAAAGGGTGACTTAGAAGTATGATCCTTGAGCAGAGTCTGCATTACCATGGTCTGCATGCCACACTGAAAGGAACACACTCATGGTTTTCCCTGTGAATTCTGATGCCGTGCAGAAGCTTACGTTTTAGAAGGGCAGAGACATCAGAAATGATGAAGTGCATCCTCTGTATTTTCCCATGCCAGAAACTGAGGTCTGGCTGGTGGGTTGCACCCGGTTGCTGTAGTGGTAACAGCAAGCTGTTGTTATGTGCCAGGCAAATGTATGCTTCGAGCACATCTGTGCCAAGCATTTTACTAAGCATCTTACTGGATTATCTTCATTTAAAATAGCTCTGGGATGCCTGCTATTATTACTCATTTTGAATGTGATGGAATGGAACCTTAGAGACCTGAGCAATGCACTTTGAAGTCGCATAGCTAGTAACCGATGGTCCTGGGCTTTGAAGCTTGGCCATCTGGTTCTCCTATAGGTGACCTTAATTCCATTGATCTCCTGTCAATAGGTAGTTAATTGTAGAATGGATGCTAGAAATCTCTCCTGCTGAACCCTAACAGGTTTGGTTCAGCTAGCTTTCCCTGTCTGGTGCTTCCTCATAAGTACATGACCATGCCATAATAAATTTTTATTAGAAACTCCATTTTCATAATTACTTTTCTAGCCCTAATGAATATGCCTTTTAACTAATTGTTTAGTTCTTGATAGGTGAGCATGGCACTATCCTGTTTTTGAAACAATCATTGCCTATCAGTCCAAAAGACAGAAACAGTTCTCAACCTGGGTTAGAACTATTTCATCTTCTGTGTATTAGAGTTAAAATTCTCCCCAGTTTATCTATAGTGTTAATCCCTTGTTCACAAATACATTTGAGGTTTTACTGCACTGGTGAGCTATTTGTTATAAATGTGTTTTGTCTAGCATTGTTATTGTGGTAGGAAAATAGACAAAGATTTCCACAAATAATCAGTTTTTATATCACTATCCAGGTTTTTAAAAAAAAAAAAAAAAAAAAAATGGAGGGCTGGCAAGACTGCTTAATGTGGGAAAAGATTTCCTGCCAGGCCTGAGTTCAATTCCTGGCTACAAACATGGTTTAAGGAAAGAACCTGTTTCTTCAGACTGTCCTCTGACCTCCGTGTTTGAGTTGTGGTGTGCACATAAACACATTTTGTTTTTAAATCAGTGGGAAAAGTGATATAATTCCATATCAGAAAAGGTATAAGTTAATAGTCTTCATCTTTGTTAGTGGAATTATTATAGTTTTTCTCTCTACAACTGGAATGTAAGAGGGACTTTAATAAGATAGTTACCTATACTAAGTCAGTGTAGTTTTCTCTATGGTGTGGTAATATCGCTGTTGCTTAAAAACAAACAATAACAACAACAAAAAACTTTCTCTCTCAAGCATATTGTTTGGTTTTTAGTGTATTTTCCCTGCAGACAGCCCTAGTAAAATGAAAGTGTCTTGTAGATCATGGCAGTTAGACTAGTTTTCAGTTCAGCATTCATAAATAAAAATGGCATTTTATATGCTTTGGACTGTTTACATCAAATGAACACTGGTCTAATAATAGGCCTCTTGTTCAAAAGCTGTGTGCATGCATTAATTTCCACAACAAAGACAAAGGAAGAAAGGGAATTGACAGCAAACAGGCGGATCTTATGGAGGGGCTTTGTGTTCTAGGCATGGCACTGCCTTGTCTTTTTTCTGTGGTTTCATAGTAGGTAAAAGGGAAGAGGGTACTTTTATGTTTCTAATACATGGTCCTATTCTTCAAAACCCTAAAAATGTTTCAGGGTCTTCAGTCATTAACTAGTCATGCCCAGAACTCACCAATAGGACGGTTTGGGCCCTTGTAAGATAAGGACACAGATACACAGGTGGCTGTGGCCCAGTTTGGCCTAAGGCGCTCTGATATTTTGCACACAGTGTTAGTGATCATGTACACCCGTAGACATCTAGTTTATTGTGGTAAATTCTCTAAACCTACTTAATAACCCAATCACCACCATTGCCTAAACGGAAGCCAGAGTGCTAGGAGCCTGGGATGCGAACAACTGTCCTGTATCAAAGGTTTAACGGTCCTGGGAGAGGATCCAGGGAGGCAGTAGCTAGTCTGCACTCTTTAGTTTCCCGGTTAAGTAACTTAAGCTTTCCTTCCTATAGAGAACAACTCTTAGATAAAACTAAGTCATTTCCTGTTACACCAACGGTTTCAGTGCTGTTAAAGGCCATGAGGCCCTTCAGAACTGGAGTTTGCTAGCTGATGAGTGAGCATGTGTCTGGCTTCTCTGTGTAGTGTATCATCGGTCTTCCCTAACTTCTTGTCCTTTCATGGGAACATATGTGAATTTAGCTCCTGAATCTTTCCAGCAAGAAAAATATGTATTTTGCCTGAGTAAAAGCACAGGTAAGCCCAGCGCCTACCTCTATTGTCCCTCCGTCCTGAGTGTTTTAGACCACAACTTTGTTCATCACTAGTCACTGTTAAATCCTTGCTTCTGCTTGAGAGACGGAAATGGTTGTTTATTGTCTAAGGTCTTCTTTTCTCCCTCCACACCTGCTCTAAGTGCCAGCATCTTTCCACTCAAGCAGACTGACCCACTGCTTGAGGCTAGGAAGCAGCGAACTCAGCCCAAGCTCAGCTTAACTAAAAATGCTCGGGAGAGATGCTGGGCCATTTGTAGAGAGCTCCCTTTTGATTCCCAGCACCCATAGGGTGGCTCACAACCACCTGTAACTCCACTTCTGGAAGAGCTGATGCCATCTTCTCTGGGCACCAGACACAAACAGTACACAAACATACTTGCATGCAAAAACCCATACACACAAAATCAATCAGTCAATCTTTAAAAAGATAAAAATGCCATTTTTAGTTAACCTGAATGGAAAGCCTAATGCAGTTTCTACACTTATAGACTTATAGTGATCCTTCCCGAAACTGCTCTTGTTAGCACTGAAAAGGACGGAGTGCCTTGTAAATGGCTTTGTTAGTAGACAGACCCTCAGACCTAAGAGATAAGAGTGGGAAGTGGATTTCATTGGTGATGAGCTGAAATTTTAGACTTTCCAAAGAAAAGAAGCTTAAACTAGACTGGCACCTGGTGAAGGCTTGTCTTAACCAAACTCCATGTAGAACAAGCTAGGTTCAAATTCTTAATGCCTGACCTACTTATAGTAGCCTATTTTCATGACTTAAACTTTTCTCCTTAACTTACTAGTCTCAGTAACTTAAAAGTCCGGGTTGAGTTTGAAGTTTGGGTCACCCACAAGTGTTTGTCATGAAGGCTTATTTGTTGAGATTTGGTTTGATTATATGTAACAGGAAAGGAAGATGAAATCTAGTGTTGTAATAAAGTGGAATGAGTAGTTAAATTTGTCATATCAAAAGTTGGGGGCCAGGAAGATGGCTCGGTCAGTAAAAGGCTTGCTGTATAAGCATGAGATATGTTGAACCCTGTCTATCATTTGAGTGAGAACTAGGCTTGGTGGCATGTTCCTTAGTCCTAGTGCTGGAGAGGCAGAGCCATGAGAACCATGGATTTCACTGATCAGCCAGTCCATGAGTTCTACATTTAGCGAAAGACCCTGTCCCTAAACATCAGGCTGACCCCCAGCTTGTACCTGTGTACTCTGATGCACACATACACATGCCCCAAAAGAAGTTGAGTTAGGAACTGCAGAGTTGGTATCTCCACTCCATGAACGGAAAGACCAAGCCTGGGTGTATGTCTGTTTCCCTTTCTCTAACACATAGTTTCCATCTTCAGGCTTGTGTCCAAGCCTGGGAGCACTGAGCTTAGAAGACAAGTAATGTCAACATTGCCGCCAGTGTGGAAAAGGAGCTTTCCCTGAGTTCCACCAACCAATCTCCTGCCCTCGTGTTCACAGTGTTCAGGA